TACATTGCCCCTTAAATGATTTTTTGACTTTGTGAAGACGACTATCATGAAAAGCTAATTTATTTCTATTCCTCGTATTAATGTTATGTCTGTCACTATTTTTCATAAATAAATTACTATTCCTTTTAACATAAATTACATTTTCATAAATGTACTGTGAGGCTAGTGTAAGAATGTTAATTTCCTTAAACTTATCTCTCAAAGATACTTAGGGGCCCAGATTGTAAATTGCCCTAACTGCACGTTTCTGCAGGACAAAGATTCTATTGATATCGGCGGCATTACCCCAAAGCAAAATGCCGTATGTCATTAGACTGTGAAAGTATCTGAAGTAAACCAATCTAGCGGTTTCGAGGTCTGAAAGTTTCCTTATTTTTTTAATCGCGTACACTGCAGAGCCGACCCGTTTTGATAACTTACTTATATGGGGACCCCATTGCAATTTAGCATCTAACGTTATACCTAGAAATACAACTGTATCCACAAGATTCAATTTTTCGTTTCTAACTACAATGTTTGTAACCGTCTCTCTAACATTGGGTAATGTAAATTTCACACAATTTGTTTTTTTCTCATTAAGAAGTAGGTTATTAACAGCAAACCAATCAACTACTTTAGATATAGCATTGTTCACATCGTCGTAGGAACATTGGTGCCTTTTAACTTTAAATAATAAGGAAGTATCATCAGCAAACAATACTATCTCATGTTTTATAACTTCCATAAGGCTAGGTAAGTCATTAATATAAACTAAAAATAAAAATGGTCCTAAAATTGAACCTTGAGGGACACCCATGCTAATTGCAGATCCTGACGATCTCGTACCGTTAACATCGACCCTCTGTACCCTACCACGCAAATACGATTTAAGAAGGTCGAGATCACGTCCCGCCACACCATAATGGCGAAGTTTCCTGACCAGTATATCATGGTGCACACAATCAAAAGCTTTGGAAAGGTCACAGAATACACCAATAGCATCGTGTGAGACTTCCCATGCATCAAATATATGATTAATCAACTCGACACCAGCATCGGTTGTAGAGCGACCCCGAGTGAAACCAAATTGTTTAGGAGACATTAAGTTATTACTATAAAAATGTGCACACATCTGATTTAGAATAATTTTTTCAAATATTTTACTGAGAGTTGGTAGTATTGTTATAGGTCTGAAATTGGTGGGTCAGAAATACTACCAGATTTGAAAAGTGGAATAACTTTACTTTGCTTCATGAGGTCAGGAAAGACACCATCATCAACACATTTATTAAAGACACAGGCTAAATAAGGCGCAATACAATCAACTATAGAACTAATTACTCTGACTGAAAGACCATCAGCAGATCAGCAGAAAGATCAGCAGTATTTTTTATGTTTATAGACTTAAAGGCTTTAACAATATCGTTTGGAAATACATGACGTAACCTTAAATTAGTGATACTAACTGCATTATTTTCTTTTAGTAAGGATTCAGCGGCGGTGGGAGATGAATTTAACGACTTAGTAGTCAAAATTGGAATGTCAGTAAAAAAATTTCAAATATTTTAGCAACTTCTGCGTCTGTGTTTACAATTTTGTCATTATATCTTAGTTGAAAATCTAAGTTACGAGTTTGGACCCTTCCAGTTTCGCTGTTTATAATATTCCAAGTAGTTTTTACTACATTCGCGCTGCTTTTTATTTTATTATTTATAAACATTGCTTTGGCTGCAACACAAACACGTTTAAACATTTTCGAATATTTCCTAACAAAATCATTAAAACTGTTACTAGTGTTATAAGTCCTTTCATCGTAAAGATCATATAGTCTTTGTCTACTTTTGTGAATTCCCACAGTCGCCCAATCACTAAATTTCAATGAATTATTAATAGTTATGATTTTGGACCTAAAAACGTTATCACATTCACTTTTGACTATGTTGAAAACTGAATTATACAATTTATTGGGATCGTTAACGTACGGAAGTTCAGTTAGTTTAAGCATTACATTATTTCTATAAGCTTTAAGTCGACCATTATTTATCGGAACACATGTGATATTCTTTTTTGGCATTTTGTCAACAGTTATATTAAAAGTGGCCAATGGACCGCAGTGATCGGAAGTTAATTTATTTATAATAGATTTGTTACTAGGTATGGCGTTAGTATAAATGTTGTCTAAACAAGTGGCAGTAGTAGAAGTTATTCTAGTAGGCACCAAGAAAAGATTTACAAGATTATAACATTGGAAAAATGATATGAGCCTACTGCTAGCACTGGAATCTTCTAATAAGTTCACATTGAAGTCACCACAAACAGCAATATATTTATTTGGATTATTTAATTTGCCTAAAACTTCATCTAATATTTTTTCAAATAGTTCGTAAGATGAATGAGGGGGTCTGTACACGCTTAATATAACAAGCCGATCAAGCTCTATGCAGGATATCTCTATAGTCCGCTCAATAGATAGGCTCACAATATCTGTACGTTCTTTAAATTTTAAATTATTTTTAATAAGAATTAAAGAGCCGCCATGAATAGCTTTTTCTCTGCTGAACGAACAAGCCACCTGGTGATTGTTGAAGCTAAACATGAACTGATGTTTTGATAGAAAGTGGTGTTCAGTAATACACAGAATATCAATATTATTACAGTTAATAAATAATTTTATTTCTAATTCTTTGCCTTTCATGCCTTGAATATTTTGATGCGCCAGGTTTAATATACAATTTATTTTATTTCTGTGTGTTTTACGAGTAGGTTGGTTTTTTATTGTCATTTTGTTGCAAGAGTATCTCTCCGTTGTCTTATTAATTAATTTAAATAATTAGAAGTTGAATTAATTTCAACAGAATGATTTTTGTCAGTAAACTGACCTATGTCGACGGACTGCTCAATAGAAGCAGCCGGTCTGGTAGCCAATGATTTAGCTGAATTATTAATATAATATGATAGCAACTCTGCTATCTGTCTCCTAAAATAACTAGTAAGATAATACCTATCTTTAATGAAATAAAAATATTTACTAATAAAATTATTAGTATCCATAAAATGAAATTTACTATAATGAAATGTCAAGCTGTGTAAAGTTCTATTTAACTCTTTCAGTCTTGGTGGTTAGCGTTACTAACCACCTCTTTTCGATTACGTTAAATAAAATCCACGCCATCTAGCGATAAACGGTTGAATTATTATGAAAGTTTGGACTGTTCTTCAAAACAAATGACAGATTCCCGGTAAATTGAATGAAGGACAGTTCATACCAGTTGAATTGAATATAGCGCTAACGTACTTTTTGTCGAGTGTCCGATAAAAAAATCTATAAAACGGGTAAGTATCATTTTTTCTGTTATGTTTTTTATTGAACGTATTCTCATATTCCTATTTTATGTGTATTTGCATGCAAGTACTGTTACTTTTGTGTTTTCAATGAGTAATTACAAAGGGAATTTGGTGGTTAGCTTACAAACCACCATGACGGTGGCGGGTTAACTTATGGATGTAACTTTATTTGTATTTTTCACATTCTTTACAGTATGTCGCGCCGCACACGCCGCTTAGGAGAGGAAGAGATTGAAAAATACTTGTTTGAAGACATCCCTTCAGGTGACGAGAGCAGTTGTAGCTTAGAAGATGACGAAGAAGGGGCAGAAAATCAGCCAAATCCGATGGTGTTAGGTGATTTGATTGGAGTTCAAATTGCTCCTGACGACATTTATGATTCTGATGATGACCTTCCATTGTCCAGCCAGTTACAACGAAATCCTGATTCCACACAGTCTAATAATGTAAATTCAAACATGCCGGCTAGGATTGCTCCAAAATGGAAGAAGAATTATAGAATGGATATTCCTGGTGAGTTTTCTGAAAGAGTGGGTTTGTCAGATCAAATTCTAAGCATGGAAAATGTGACACCTCTTTTACTATTTGGCCTTTTTTGGACAGAGCATTTGCAAGACCTTTTATGTTTCCAAACTAACCTTTATGCTACTCAAACTGGAAAGCCATATACACCTATCACAACAGAAGAGCTTGATGTTTTTATTGCCTTGAATTTGGTGATGGGGATAAAAAAATTGCCGAGCTACCGAGATTATTGGTCTTCAGCGCCTGATTTGCATGACAGCTATGTTTCGAAGTTCATGAGCTTTAAAAGGTTCAGTTGGCTTTTGAATAACTTACTTGTTAATGACAATAGTGTAATGCCTGACCGAAATGACCCTAATTACGAAAAACTTTATAAAATTAGACCTCTACTCGACTTACAGCAAAACAATTTTCAAAAAAATTACACGCCATCTGAGAGAGTTGCTATCGATGAAAGCATGATCAAATTCAAAGGCAGAAACTCCCTAAAACAATACATGCCAAAAAAGCCGACGAAACGGGGCTACAAGGTTTGGATGATGTGTGCACAATCAGGTTATTGTCTAGATTTTAATATTTATACAGGCAAACAGGGTAGTAACGTCGAAACTGACTTAGGTGGAAAAATTGTAAAGAATTTTTGCGAACCCTTGAAAAATAAAAATCATAAGGTTTATTTTGACAATTACTTCAATGGTTACCCTTTGCAAGTGGAACTACTTAAGAACCAGATATATGCTTGTGGAACTGTGAACTCAAATAGAAAGTTCTTGCCAACGCTAAAAGATGACAAGCATTTACAAAGAGGTGAACATGATTACCGGGTTAGTGACACAAAAGTAAGTTTGCTGAAATGGAAGGACAAGAGATCAGTATTTATTCTGTCAAACTATTATGATCCGAAGAATGTGGGAAAGGTAAAACGCAGAGAGCGTGATGGCACCAGTACTGAAGTGTCCTGTCCTCAGGCCGTCATTGACTACAACGCAAACATGAACTTTGTCGACAAATATGATCAGCTCAAAGGAAGCTATGCTATTGACAGAAAATCCCATAAGTGGTGGCATAGGATTTTTTTTCACTTTCTGGATTGTTGTGTTGTCAATGCTTTTTTGATTTATAAAGAACTGCAATCCTCTTCACGCCCAGACCTAGACAAGCTGATTCTGAAAGAATTCAGACGAGAAGTATATCGGGGCCTACTGGCACCAGCATATGTGAGAGACAAACACAGGCTGGATTCAGTGAACAGCAACCGTAATTCTGCGGCCTCTTCTCCAGGACCTGCATTTATGAAACGCCATAAACCTACAGTCCCTCAGGAAATTCGTCTAGAATCCAGTCGCCATCAACCTGAAAGAAGTACATCAAGAAGGTGCTGCAATTGTAGCACTAAAATATCTCCAGTGCGTACTGTATGGCAGTGTAGTATATGTAAAGTGCCTCTTTGCTTACGCAAAGGTAAAACATGTTTTGCAGATTTTCATAAAAAATAATTGAATGATAATTCGTCTAATAAATAACATTCACAATCATCGTAGTTTTATTCATAGCTATAGTCATGGTGGTTAGCGTTAGTGACCACCTCATTCCTTGAAAGCCTTAATACCTATATTTTTTTTCTTCTATTTTCTGTGATATTTAAGTTGTAAAAGTTGCTTAAATAAACAAAAAAATATAATTATGTTCCCATTTCTAAAAGTGTGACTGAAAGAGTTAAGTTATGCCTCAAATTATTTTCACTTGTTGTGGGGCTATTGCTGAAGGGAAAAGCTAACAAAATAATTTCTTTTATATTAATTAAATTATTTAATTGTGAAAAATATTGTATTAATTCTTTTTTGTTACATTTTCCTCTTCTGCCAATTAAAATTGTTAATGAAGTGTCTTTGTCAAATTTAGTTGACAAAATACTATCTAATACTTTACAGTATGTTGCACCTGGCATGCAAATATTTGTTAATTTTATTCCTAGGTGGTTAAGTTGCAAACCTATATTTTTACCCATTTCATCACTATACATAACAATATTTTTTTGACTTTCATTTGACCTAGTTATTGACAAAGAGGTATATTTTGATTCTAAACAAGATTCCTGCAACAACAATAAGGAGGGATCAATGACACACACAGATCAGATCTCGAAAGATCCATACGCTCGATTGCTGCTTTATTTTGGGATCGTGACTATAAATCCATGTTTCGTCACCTGTTACTACATCCCACACCAAATTTGACGCCCCTTCGTTGAATCTGGTAAACATGGCATTGCACCAAGCTGATCCGTTTTTTGAGCCTCAGTCAAGTTGTTTGGTATGCACCGAGAGCGCAGCTTTTTCACGCCCAAATGTTTGTATAGTATTGATTGTATTTGACTCATGCCTATGCCTAAAGATGCTCTCATGGTATGTCCCATGCCTGTCTGTTTTGATCATACGGCGCACAGCATCGATGTTTTTGTTGTTCACAACAGTGGACGGGCGACCATCACGAAATTCGTCACTGAGATTCACACGACCGCATTTGTATTCTGCAAACCAGCTATAAATAGTCGTCTTGTATGGTGCTTCATCGCCAAAAACAGTTTGAAGCCGAACGAAGCTCCGCTGAGCTGTTAAATTACACTTAAAGTCGTAGAAAATCATAGTACGAAAATTTTCACGAGTTAAATCCATGGTAATGTAGACAACCAATTTCTAAAATGACGCCACAATGTAAAAACAAGTGACAGTCAGATGAAACAAACTGTATTCTATAGCCAAAGAGTTCCATTTTCAAATGTTATAATTACTTTTTAAATATTGTTTATGTAAGTGGCCAGTTCCGGAAACTTATAGTGCGTCCTATGTATTTGTGCCATGACTGAGTTAATAAGTGTCCAACTTTATACAGTAATCTATGAACGTTAACTAATTTTATAACAGCAGAATAAAATTTCCTATTATTCAGTAAAATTAGTTGACTACTTACACAGGCGCAGCCGTATTGTATACAGCGCCATATCACATTACGGCTAACTAATTTTGTAATACGGCTACTTTATGTTCAGCCGGATTGTGATCACGATACGTTCTACAAAGCAGTGACTATAATCCGGCGGTCAACGTTTAGCAGTATCGTTCACAGGGAAAATGTCACCATAACTATGAATTATACATAGGTCAAATCTTGGTTGCGCCCTCTATTCAGGATATTTATTTAGGCACATTGCAATCCGGCTGAACACGAGGTAGCCGTATTAGAAAACAGCGCCGTTGTGCAAAGCGGCTAGCCGTAATGTAATACGGCGCTTTATACGATACGGCTGCGACATATACAATACGGCTGCGACTTATACACTAATTTAAAATTAGTTTGCCAAGATTATTATTAACAAAGGTATTTTTGAATCTAATTTAAATACATTTTTAATAATTTACAGTGTTATTCCAACATTAAACTTTTTTATAACACAAAATTTGTGCTTTAAAACTCAAAATAATTGTATTTGTTTCCAGGTTTATTAAGTCAGTGGAAAATAAAATGGTGAGCTGGGCAGCCCTGGGTGAGGGATGGCACAATTACCATCATGTGTTCCCATGGGATTACCGGACATCTGAACTAGGCTGTGTCAACTGGTCTACTGCGTTCATTAATGCCTTTGCTAAAATCGGATGGGCATACGATTGTACGTACAAAGTTGAATTCAATAAATAAATGTATATATTTTATATACAATAACTTACCATTAGTAAGACGTATAGTTCGCATAATTTTTTTTTTATTTGTTCACTTACTTACTTAGTTATTTAGTGTGTCCCATCATGGAAAAATTTCCATTTTCAATCCAAATCATATTTTACTGGATATTTTTTAAATATTTTCCTTTATTTTTCTACATTTGACGTTGACACCTGTCAAAAGTTGAAGTTACTGAACGAAAACGATGAAGCCAACAACAAGTGGTGTGGTGTGGTTGTTGGAGGTTTTTTCGCTGTTCTGAAATCATTTTAAATCTCGATTTTCTATTATGTAAATAAAACTTCAAAAGCCTTGGGACAAAGGAATTATTATGAATTAATGGGAGATAGATAGATAGATTTTAAGCTAAAAGGCACAGTTCAGCACGGCCAACTCATTTAAGAACAATTTAAATTGAAATTACGCGCATTCAATTAAAAAAAAGGAAGCGTTTCTTTTTTTGTATGTATGTTACGCGATTACTCCGACATTTTATTTTGTGAACCGATTTCGATGATTTTTTTGTTGGAACGAGAGTACCTCAGTGGTGATCCCAGTCAAATTTGAAATATTTCACCACTAAGAGTTGTTACACACGGCGACATTTAGCAGCGAAGCAAACGCGCATACGTGAAACGCACGATTGCATCGATGCAATCGCTTATAAATCACAAGTGTAGCTATGCAATCGCGCCTTTGTATCCTGTAGTCACGCGTTTGCATCGCTGCTTAAAGTCACGCGTGTGTGTAAAGGTAGACGATTAGCTACTGCATCGCGTTCGCATCGCTACTAAATGTCACCGTGTGTAACCGCTCTAAAGGTGGCAAACTAGGGAATGAATTACTTTCACTGACTTTCCGTTAACCGATTTCAATAAAACTTGATAATAGATGTAACGAACCTAGCGAAAGCGGATAAGCAAATTTTTTAGGTCGATTTTTTTTAATGTGCACAAACATTTAAATGTCGCTTGTCTTTCAAAATTTGTCACTGTAGAGCACAATTGTACTATCGTAATTTCAGACGTTTAGTTTCCCCCAGATTATCTCTAAACAAAAGTTCCTCAACTGGAAGAACATAGTAAAAAACCAATAGAAGCCGACCTTATACCAGGAACCTTCCATTTGATCATAATAATATAAAGAGAAGAAGTCATACATTGAGCATAAAACAAACAAGATAACAAATGCTGAATGATAAAGAAAATAGAGGAGATGGAGGTCAAATGCACACTTACATAAGAATAAAAAAAAAAAGAAAATACAGGCCATTGTTATGTCAGTATGTCGATGCGTGTATGTGAATGATATCCTTCTTGGAAAGCCTTAATGTTCAAACTTTGAGATCCAGCTTTTTTAACCGTTGTCAATAATAGTAAAGGAGTATTTAATATAAAAAAATATAGTAATACCCGTTATAAAACTGTCTTGTTGTTAGAATCTGATCATGAATTTTGAAAACTCAATGAAAAGAACAAATGAAATAGACATATTTTATGCATAAATAAATAATTTTTTTTTTTCATACGTCAACACCGACCCATTTATACGTCTCACTATGAGTCCGCCACGCTGCCCAGTGCGAGTTGAAGACTTCACACGCTTTCCGTTGTAAACTGTCTTCCACGTACAGGTTTCATCACAATATTTTCCTTTGTCGAAAAGTTCGCGCATAAATTCCTCAAATTGCGCAAAAAAAAAACCTCAAAGATGCGAGCCCGAATTCGAACCCATGACCTATGCTTGACAGACTAGGTTTCATTATGATTGTTTATTGTGATTGTTTACAGTAAAAAGTGCGACTAATGAAATGATCATCAACAGAGCGAAGCGAACAGGAGACGGGTCTCTAGGGCATCACGACGAAGAACCGGAACCAACATCCAATACCAGCGAATAATATCTGAAATATTCAAACCAATTAGTTTATATACAATTAGTTTTTAATGCAATATAATTTATATTGGTGTCAGATTTTTTCTATAAAGTTTTAAGTTTAACAACTGGGTGAGTAACAAAAGCACTAGTAAGTTGATACAACAGAAATTGAAGTAGAAATCAGTTTTTGCTTCTTCCTACAAAAATAAAACTTAAACACTGTGTATGTGTGCAAAGCCACAGCTTTATTAACAAAAAAGTCAGCCAATAATTTATAATAAAAGTGATGAACAATATAGTACACATGCAAGATTTTAAAATATAACTACATAATTAATTTATTAAGAAATAAAATAGGCGAAGTTACATAACTTCGACTATCCGCAATTAATTTAAAAAAAATTAAACCGTCAGCAGTTAAAAGAATTTATACTCATATCTTCTCAAAATGAACTTATAAAGAAGCAAAAACATTTCGAACACGCCCATGGTTCTGAATCCGTTGAGTAATTCGATCTTATCGCATTCTTACAATTTTTTTTTTTGTTAACGAAGCTACACACCGTAAAATTTTGTGTGACTGGACCGAAAAACATGTCAAAGTTTAATGAACCCGTTGGGACACGATCAGTGAAATCAAGAATCAATATTAATATACATACA